TGGAAAATTAGGAAAGCATTAAAAATCCCTTAGTTGAATTTTCAACTTATATGTTGGACTAAGCCATAAAAAATAACTCAACAACTTAAAACATGTCCTTTTTTTATCAAGTCATTGAGAATTTTCATACAACTAATTTTAGATTAAAAGATATCTTGTTATTATTGGTGTCTTTCTTTATACCTTTCTTGTGAGTAAGACTTGAAGAAGTGACAATAAGCAAAAGACAAGAGGCAATCTCCCTTTTTCTATGGACTATTCTTTCACATTGAAGTAACTACAGCTCTCGAGAAGGGATTTTTTACTGATTCCATCTCTTTGATCTTTTCTAAAACCCTCAAAGAATAGAGCACTAAGAGTCCCTGGTCTTGTAAAGGTTTAAGAAGATGATGGAACATCCTCATTATTAAGCATAATATTCCAAAATGACTTGTTGGAGAAAAATGATCTTTCAAATTAATAATTATGTAGCCTTTTTTTGTAATTGAAAAGGGAAAACTACAACTCAGCCAATGCAAGACAGGTAGAAGAAGACATGTAATTAGAAAAATAGCTTGTTCCCTAAATTTTTATTAATATTTAGAAAGTGACACATTTGTTGATTTGGACAATAATCTTTCCAACAAAATTCTCTAGCCAAAACAAACACATACCTAAAGCACATAAATTCCTTAGACATAGAAAAATGAAGTATGCACATACATGGACTTAGGTGTGCACACATGATATAATGAATAAAGAATCATTGAATTTCAATATTTTATCCATGTAATGCACTGAGGCATCCAGAATTTAGCCATGACTTTATTGATTTAAGGTTAATTTCATGCCTCAGGTAGGAATGGATAAGATAATTTCTTATTTAATGCTATATTTATCAGTGAAAAAAATGATAAATCAATTAGTTGGATAAATTATCTTATATGAATAGGACTAAACAACCTTATGAAAACCTAAAAAGATTGTATAATCCCACATAAATAGTGTTACATAAAAAAAGATGAGAGCATTAGAATTACAAAATAAAGATGATTTATTAATCAATCTTAATTTATTCTATCTTAGACCCTACTTAAAGTCCTCTTTATCAAATGAAACCTAAATGCATAGATGAGTAGAAAAGAACTTAAAGAGTTCTTATAAAGTGAAATAATATTTTCAAATGTCCAAAACATACCTTATGACAATATTTTTATAGAAAGACCTGTGCTATCTTATAATGACTTAATTAAAGAGCCTTGCTTTCTAATTAAGTTGATTGCTTGTGTAAATGCTACCAACAATCGAATTGAACAAAATGTAGCTCCAGCTCCTTTAGCATCCCCATCATTGTTAGGTAGTCTAGAGACACGTTTGAAAACTTTTATAGTAACATCCATTTGCAAAGGAAAATGGTGCCTTTGGTTCTTCTTTTCTAGTTATTAGAACCTACAAAAAAAATCCAATTAATTCAAGGAATTGCCAAAAGAGTCTAAAAAAAATAGGATATTTAATGCCAATATCTTATTAGCTTAATTGTTACTTTTGACTACTTGCTTTGTCCTTTCAAAAAGGCACAAAGCAAAAAGAAAAAAATGTTTCGATTCAATGAAAAAAATAAATTTAATTTTTTGAATTAAAAAATGCATGGTTTGCTTCTATATGGATTTAGTCGATTTGAATTTATGTCATATTTGACTTTTCTACTCATTTTTTTATTCAAGCATACTACATATAAACTAAAGAGAGCGAAACCCATAATCAGAAACTGACGATTGTAAAATTTTTTGAAATTTTTGTTCTAAAGAAAAAAAAAGAGTTGCAATGCAATCAGGAGTGCCAATAGCACCATTAAAGATGCAGATATGGGTGCGTGTTTTCTTACACATCTTCTTGATGAGTTTGCCTTTGTCGCCAATTATGTTGCTTACTTTCAAAACCGACATAATTAGCCAAAACACGTACTGACTTAACCATCCGAGCCACTTTTCTATTATTGGATTAGTGGTGGTTGCTTTTGAAGGATTTTGCATTGATGCGACTATTATGACCATGGTAGTTGGTGGTTTTATTTTTTGCTAAACTGTTCTTTTAGCATCTGTGATTTTCATAGAAGGATTTACTATCAAACATAAAATTACTCTTAATTACTAACCCAATACAAAAAAACACAAATTAATAAAAAAATACTATGCATGAATAAAAAAATAATTTAAACACAAAATCAAAACCCAAAAACCACAAAAGAACAATCAATATAATGTATGAAAAATAGAAACAACAAAACAAATAACAAACATTCACATAAATAACAATGTCAAAACAACTCAAATTGTCAGTTAAAATACATTGAATTTCTTCATCCAAGAAAAAAATCCCAAAAAAAGATTAAAACAAAAAAAGAAAGGGAGATGATGGTTATAGAAAGCAAGTCAAAAGGCGGTGTTATTAAAAGCTAGAGTGGAGTTTAAGGTGTCGAAGAAAATGCTTTTCTGGATGAGAGTTTTGGTGTGGAATGGGGAGAAAATATTAGAGAATTTTTGCCATAATTTCCTTTTAGAACTTTTTGGGATTGGTTTGTGAAATAGTGATGCCCAAATCTATCCTTAAATTGTTTTTTTTTTTTTATGACATTCATTATGTGGATATGAAATTGGAGTCTTGGAGACTCCTTTTATATATAGGTGTAGATATGCAGAGTAAAATTAAGTATATATAATTTTGAAAACCTAAAATTTGATTTAATCTTTTTTTTTGGAATTTCAACTTAATTGAGAATAAACCCTTAAAAGTCAAATCCATATTGTTAATGCCCTTTCCAAGCCCAAATTCATTTTATTTGCAAGCTTATGGCTCGTTTCTTTTTTTTTTTCTTCATTTCTCTGGTCTTTGATTTTCTCTTCTCTACTTTCTCTTACTGCCTCATCGAATATTGTTGTTGTTTCACCTATTGTTCTAGGCTTGAAGCTCTCCGATGTTGGTTGCTTTCTCTTATTGTTTGTTTTTGTTCTTTTGTTGACCATCAATTGGTTTTTTTGCTCTTGATTGGCTAGTTACGTTTTCAATTATTCGTTTCATCTTCAAAACTTTAGTATTGTGTTAATGTGTTATAGTTGTTTTTCTAACCTTGTGTTATTTGCTATAGACTTGTTTTAGTTCTTTTTTTTTTTTTCCAACTTTACATATATTTTTAGAATTTCTTAAAATTTTATTTTTAAATTGTTATTAAATTGTCAATTAAACTGATCAAACCAATTAAATTGATGACGGGAGGTCTCATCAGTTTGATCAATGGTCTAGTTTAAAACATTGGTAATATGTCCAGCCTTAAAAGAAGAAAAAAAAATCTATTTATCTACTTAGGGTAGCTTTGGAATTCACTACACCCATAGTGGAGGTGCAATTACAATGGGAAGTTTGTGTAAGTCGTATTGCATAGTACCTTTTTTTCCTTTGAATTCAATTGTGCCACACAAGGATGTCGATTGGCCACTAAATGTTCATTTTTTGTTTAGTAGACCATCTGCCAATCAATTAATTTAATATATTTAGGTCATATTTGATGCATAAGGTTATTAATAAGATATGATAATAATCATCTTATATCATATTTGATTTATATCTATAAAGAGGGATAGTGATTGCAAAGAGAATTAGATTAAACATTTTTTAAACTTTTTTATTAAAAAATTTTCTAAAAATTAAAGAAAAATTTAATAAGAGGAAAAATAAAAAATACATTTTTACTTTTATTTTTTTTCTTATATTTCTATTTTGTTTTTTTAAAAAAAGTTTTGAAAACTATTCCAAAATAAAAAAATAAATAAAAAAGAAATTGTGGATTGCTATTTGAATGAAAATGTCATTCAATTAACCTTCACTATATTTTTTCTATTTTATTATAAAATAAAAATTACACCTTCATCCTTTTGATTTATTGGCTAAAAAGCTTGAAAAAGACATGTAAAGCACAGGTTCAATTTTAATTATCTTTTTCTTCCTTAGTTAGATAGATAAAACAATAAAAATATTTTACTATTTTTAAGAACAAGTAAAAAAATCTCAGAACAAAAAAAATTTGTGGGTGGGTGGCTAATTAAATGAAAATATTATTCAATTAACTCCCAATTAATTTCAAAATAAAATTAATAAAAAGAAAATAAAATAAATCACAGTTTTACTTCTATTTTCTTTTTTTCTTATATTTTTTCTTTTTATTTTGTTAAGAAAAAGTTTAAAAAACTATCCCAATACTAAAAATAAATAAGAAAATTTTGGGTTGCTAATTAAATGACAAATGTTAATCAATTAACTCTCATTACATTTTTTTTTATTTTTAAGATAAAGTAAAAAAGTAAATATTTTTTATTTAAAAAAATAAAAAAAAAAACAAAAATAAATAAATAAATAAATTATGGTGGATGGATGCTAATTAAATGACAAATATCACTCAATTAACTCCACAATTAGTTTTAAAATTGAAATGTGTCATCAAATTATCAAAAGATTACTAAAAACATCTTTCTAATAGTAAGTATAGATAATTTCAAAACTGAATTAATTCACCAATTATTTAGAATCTTGAACAAATCATTATCTACTTGGATTTTAATAATTATAAATTTTTTTAAAAATCTAAATAAAAGCATTTTTCCTTAAAAAAAAGAAAAATTAATTTGAAAAAGAGTATAAGACAACATTGACAAAATACCTACTTACTTGTATTGATTTTTTAAAAAATTTTTAATCTGGTTTAAATTTTTTTATTTTTATAATTATTTGATTTCAATAATATAATGTATATAATTTTTTTAATTCATAATATATTAATTAAATTAAAAATCCATTTAAAAAATAAAAAAGAAACTAAAAGTCGGCTTGCGTGTATTGACGTATTTAGCATTTTCCATTTTTGTGGATGTCGGTGTAGCATCATCACGTGCCCACCGTAACCAAATGCCACGTCAAAATCAATCATCGTTCGAAATTCGAAATTTTCTTGTTCAAAATCCGAAGAACGAAGTTTGTTAAAAAAACGCCAAAAAATTATCAATAAAAAAAAATAAAGCATTTACCATCTTCATAAATATTCTCACCATCTTCTTCCTTCAATTTTGCTAAATTCTAACAAAATCGTGTAGATTGGCGTGGGCAGTGACACTCAGTGACCTTTCTTTTTAGATTTTACTCCTCTTGTCTTCTATAATAATAGTATAACCAAAAGCAAAAACAGAATAGAATGTCTACGCTCCATTGCCATTTCCAAATCCAAATCCAAATCCAATCAGATATTTGCTCCGCTCTTCAAATAGCTTCCTCCACCTTTCGCTGTCTCCGATCTAGGACTTTCAACCTCCCTCGTCGGCTTCTCCTTCCACCTCTCCATTCTCATTCCACCACCTCTTTCGTTTCGCTCCCAAGAGCTTTCTCTAACGACGCTAGCGTTCCCGACAAGCCTTCGATTTGTACAGCCGACGAGCTCCACTATGTGTCGCTTCCTAATTCTGATTGGCGCCTTGCCCTCTGGCGATATCACCCTCCTCCTCAGGTTTTTGGTTCCTTTGACTTTTCCAAAATTATTATTACAATTTTTTTTTGTTTTTTAATTGTTTTTATTTATTCATGGATGGAATGAAATTATTATCGTTACTATTACTACTTTGTAACAGGCGCCTCGGAGAAATCATCCGCTGTTATTGTTGTCTGGAGTGGGGACTAATGCCATTGGATACGATCTTTCTCCCGGGGTAAATTATGTTTTTATAATTTTTTATTTTTTATTTTTCAATCTTATGTGTTTTTGTTTTCAAGCAGTTGAATTTGTGTTTTTGGTTTTCCCTAGCGGACTTATGGCATTTTCTATTTTGTGGTACTTGAAACAAGAATTGAGAAGTTTGGCACCAATTTGTTTACGCTTTAGTGTCCAACTTCATGACGGATGTAAACTGTAAAGAATAAAATTAAAGTGTAAAACGGTTATAATTCTGTTACTAATTCTTTTTATTTTTCCTTGTAATTTGGGATGAGGATACGTGTTAAGTCATGCTAGCTAAACAAGAATCCCCATTAATTTTCTTCTTCTTCTTTTTTAATTTAAATTGTTATAAAAGGAAAAAAAAGAAAAGAAGCCATTTTCATATATCTTAGTATGGTTAACCAGTCTTTTATTTCCTTTAGTTTTGGAATGCTCTTTTTTAACATGAATGCACAATTATTTACTTTCTGCATTCTATAGGTTTTATGCTGCATTTGGCCCAATTAGGACAACCATATGTTGTTTAGCTGTATTTGTTCATGGAGTGGCTAGGAGTAATGAACATTTGATCTTTAATCTGTAATTACAACAACCAAAACTTGTTCAGTTTGAATTTTTCTACAATCCTCTGGATGCTTCATAGAAACCAAAATCTGAGGAGTCCAAGAAGACGATTTAGCCATGTTGTAGGTTATCAGCTGCTGATATTATAACTACATAGTATATCAGCACTTTTGTTTGCCCTGGTGCTACAAGGGAGATGTCGTAATTTCTAAGTTCAAATTTGACCCATGATGAGCCCTAAGGCAAAATATTTAACCATGCTCAATGAGAAACTCATAAATGACAGTTCAATCCATATGGACCCTTTACAGCACCAACAGTCACCAACTGTTGACTTCTATTAAAAAACCTGTTATACATGTATTTGATCATTTGTATATTGCCTTGGTTAGTCAACAAACTATATTCTTATGGAAGAAATTGTATAACAAAACTTCCAATGGTCATGGCTCTCTCACAGTTAAGAGTGCCATTTATTTTGCCCTTTGTTGCACACTTACACGAATACCTACACTCATGGTCAAATAAACAATGGTGTCTTCCAACTTTATAACTTCTAAGATGCTGAATATTATTTCCTTCTCTTTTACTGATAAATATGGTCCTTTTCCCGATGAACATGATATGCATCTGCAGTCTTCATTTGCTAGATACATGTCTGGCCAAGGCTTTGACACATGGATTCTTGAAGTTCGTGGCGCTGGGCTGAGTGTGCAGGCGTCAAATTTCAAAGAATTTAAGGAAACAGCTGATGCAGTATCTGAGCAGATGGAAACCATGGTTAAGAGTGTGATAAAGGGAGTTTCTTCTCAGCAGCAGCCAACTAATGTTTCTGGTTCCTTATCAGATTCTGAGATTTCTTTTCTTAGAGAAGATTCAATAGGGATTGGAACAGCATGGGATGAATCAAAAGTGGTGACAAAGTTAACAGAAATTTTCATGCGTTTATCTGAGAGACTATCTGGCTTTCTTAGTGACAGCCAATTGAGACTTATCTCTGCTAAATTATTTGATCAAATATCAAAACTTTTGGAAGATTCTCAATTATCTGAACGCTTTGAGGAGGTAAGGGCAAAGCTTTCCAACTTACTAGAAAAACAACAAAACTCTGGTATTGCTAGCCAAATTAGAGATCTGAGTCAAAGGCTTGTAAATATTATTGAAGAAGGCCAACGATCTGTTTCACCTCAGTTCATTGATATACAAGAGCGGCTTTCTTCAACAATAGAAGATTTTCAGAAACAACTTGACTTGATTGTGAAGTATGATTGGGATTTTGATCACTATCTGGAGGAGGATGTTCCTGCTGCGGTGAGGTGACATTTTGCCATGCTGGAAGGCTATGCACATACTGACTCATTTTTATTTTACTTTCTTAATTAGAATGTTATGAATTCCATTTGTTATTCTACATTTTCAATACTATCCATGTCTACTGTCTTTTGTTATGTTACATTTTCAATACTATCCATGTCTACTGTCTTTTGGTTGAATTAACAATTTTCATTTTCATTCATATAGATGGAATACGTAATGGCACAGACAAAGCCAAAGGATGGAAAATTGCTTGCAATTGGTCATTCAATGGGAGGCATATTGCTTTATGCTATGCTGTCACGGTGTGGTAAGATACCATCATTTGAAATTTATGTCAGATTCCAATGATTTTCACCCTTAAATTGTAATGCATAGAGGTAAAGATAGATTCATCCCTCAATTAGTTGAACTACACTTTGAAAACCTTAAAGGAGAAAATATTGTGGGTGAACTTGTCTTCTTCTAAGCTTTAAACTAACAGTTTATCAACCCACAATTGTAAAACTGTCTTAGATTTACAATAATCAGTGTAGGAAAAAAACTATAATGATAAGGTGTACCAAAGCTTTATGCATCATCACATATTTAATTATAACCAATTGATAAAAAGAGCTATTAAACCCTCACAGAGTGCATGTTGAAGTGCCAATGCTACAAAAATAAGCTTAATCTCAATATGGTCACACTGTGCTTTCATTTAGCTTAACCTTTTATTGGTATATGGATTTTTTTTTTTTTTATTATTCGAATGAATAAGTTCTATCTATGTTGGATTTCTAGTTAGACAGTAGTCTACTGCTCTTGGGTTTCTTCTCTCAATCCTAATAAGCCTTTTTTTCTACCTTTCGGTCCTAAAATATTTATTTATTTTGTTCTTTATTTTAAGATTTCTTTTGTTGATGAAATATTTGGGAAGGAAAAGAAGATGAGATCAAAATGCCATGTGGACAAGGTGCATCAAATAGTTTCATTAGAAAAAGTGATCAACTATAAAAATCCATTTATCAAAAGGGAAATGCTTCTTTTTCCGACTCTCAAGGTCTGACAATGAGGCTGATTACTCACAGTTAATTAAAGTCTTAATTTTGGATAGTGAGAGTCTGGCCAATTAGCAGTGTCATACAAATTATAATGAATGGTGGGAAGCACTATTTTGATGAGCTTTTGTAAAGGTCTTCTCCCTCTTAGTGTCATTTAATAATTAATGTTAAAAAGCAACCTCTAAAGTTTTTTTTTTTTTTTGGCCTTTAGCAACCTCTAAAGTTTTGAATGGTATATTTCTTTACTTTCCATTATTTTTCATGTATTAAGATTCATGGTTGGAATGATCATTCTTCTGTTTTTAGATTTGTCCACAACAAAGTAGTTCTAGATTTTATGTTAAATGGCGATTAAAATGTGGTAAAGCTAATCTCCAGCAAAGCATCAGCTCACTCGAAATGTGAGTGAGCTTGGTGTCAGATTTGGCATCTTATTGTTTGCCAAGAGTGAAAAAAATAATTGTTTTAACCGCTTCGAGTACTCTCACCAATCTCGGGATGCTTGATGCAGCGTTGTTTGAGTGTGATGATGTAATCAATACATGTATCATGGAGGCAATACTTTCAACTTTATCTTCATTACTCTTAATATTTCCACTTGTTCTTGTAGAAAGTGACTGCATTAAATAGTTGAACGTGCATGTTTTTCTTTTAGTGGATTCCAGAGTTCAGTTTAAGAACAATCTGTTGATTCCCGGGCATTTGACAGTAGATATCTTCACTGCCAAGGGTCAATTGTTCAAAATGATACATCCAGTTGTGAAATTGAATATGTGATAGTGAGTGTTGTCCTGCTTGCAACCAAAGGTGTATTAACTAGGCTAAGGAAAGACAAGGAGTTATTATTTCATTTTGTAGCTGCTTTTGTTTATTTTCAACTTGTTTCTGCCCAAACTGGTGTAGCTGTTAGGGTCAAATATATTATTATTATTAATTATTATTATTAGTATTTATTATTATTAATTTGAAGAGCAGGAGCCCACACCCTAAGGGAGCCAATGCAAAAAATATATTCTTAGTATCATAGAATATTGCTTTGTGAAATTTAACTTACACACAGTAGCGGGCCTGCATTTAAAGTTTGATACTCTCTGAATCAAAACTTGACTTAGTTGTTCTAAAAGCATTTGTTGGTATTAGTTTTTAATGTGCTTCTGTTTAGTTTACTTTCTTTTTCTTTTCATGTTGAGAAAAATAACCATTGGTTGCATGTTATATATTTTCTTTTAAGGTTTTGAAGGACGGGAACCTAGACTAAAGGCTGTTGTTACTTTGGCATCATCACTTGATTACACATCTTCAGATTCGACACTCAAATTGCTCTTGCCTCTTGTGAGTGTGTAAACCAGTTTTATATGCCTTAATTGCTATGTTGATGTGATTTTGATAACTACCTACTTAAAAATTTGACACAAATAGGTTTCTTGAGAAAGTAATATATGGAAATTGTTATACAGGCAGATCCTGCACAAGCTCTTAATGTCCCCGTTGTTCCCTTAGGAACGCTATTGGCAGCTGCTTACCCTTTATCATCACAGCCTCCTTATGTCTTGGCTTGGCTTAATAATCTAATATCAGCAGAGGACATGATGCATCCGGAGTTGCTAAAAAAGCTTGTCTTAAACAACTTTTGTAAGTATGGGTATATTTTTTCTTCACATGATGCGAAATATTACAGCTTTCTTATTGGAATCTAAGCTTTTCTCTTTCTATGTAATGAACATCTAGGTATGCTATTAATAGCAGAAAATCAATAATTTGATCCTTATACACAAAACTCGGTTTCTGATTTTATACCTTGATATTTCTGTTACTGATTTTATGGCATGGTGGGAGTTGTCTCTGAATGTGATCTCTGGTTTCCCTATTTTGGATCTACCAAAATTTCTGCTTTTGTTCTTAGCTATATGGTGACTGGCGTAATTTCTTTTATGATTTCCAGGTACAATACCTGCTAAACTTATTCTGCAGCTCGCAACAGCTTTTCGAGCACAGGGTTTATGTGATAGGAGTGGTAAATATTTCTACAAGGATCATCTACATAAAAGCAATGTCCCTGTCCTGGCTATTGCAGGAGATCAAGATATAATTTGTCCACCTGAAGCTGTAGAGGGTAGGTGGTAACTGTGTGGCTAGTTAAATGCAAGTAGTCCTCATATGGTTTTCATATATATATATATATATATATATATATATTAATTATTCATTTATTTATTTATTCCTTATCTTTTAAACCAGAAACTGTGAAGCTTTTTCCTGAGAACTTGGTTATGTTTAGAGTATTTGGAGAACAACAGGGTCCGCATTATGCACATTATGATTTGGTGGGAGGGCGATTGGTAAGCATTGCTGATAAGAAATATTTGACAGGTCATTTGATTGTTATTTGACTGCTGCATGTATAATGTTTTTAAATTTGTTCAAACTGCAGGCTGTGGAGCAAGTTTATCCATGTATAGTCCAGTTTCTTAGTCAATATGATTAAACATGATATCTGAGCCAAGAAACACATCTACGAAAGATTTGATAAAGCAGCGATTCATTTTTCCTAGCGGTGTTAACATACCTTTTTGTTGTAATCTTGGCAGCATGAAATGTGCCTATTTATGCCAGTCACAGAGTTAATGTGACTGATCATTTTGGCGGATGCATTGCAATTGAAACAATGGATGTAGGAAGAACCTTCAAAATACGTCGCTGAATTTGTACTAATGATGAAGAAAACTCTTGGGGTTAAAATCACCCAAAAAGGACAAAAAAAAAAAAAGCATCAACTAAAAGTGGTTGGGACCCGTTTGTCAAAATGATTTGGATTAAGCTCAATGTTACAAGTTTCTTGAAGAATTTTTTTGTTTTTTTTGTTTTGTTGCTAAACTATTGTACTATGTGTTGTCTTAAGATAATCTTGAAGTCCTAAATGAGGTGTTTGGTTGGCGAAAAGTTGCATTGTTTTTGATAAAATGATTTTTTCAGATTTTTTATTTGACAGATTTTGGAACTGAACTTGATAGATTTCGGAAATGAATAATCCTTACAAAGATTTTGGTTTGGTTAGAAAAACGTAAGATTATCTAAGGAGGTATTTTATTATTATTATTTTTTTATATCACACATGAATAATGTGATGTTTAATTATATTTAAATTATTTATTTATTTAGGGTTAATGTTATGAATGATTTTTAAAGAATAGTGAAATATTTAATAAATTTTAATGTAATACTTAAATTTTAAAAATATTTATTTTAATATTTGAATTATAAATTTATTAATTAATTTAATATTTGAGGGATTGTATGTCATCTTTCATCATTTAGATCTAGTTATATTAAAGTTAAATATAATATTAGTTAATAAATTTTTAGTTTAAATATCACATTAAATATTTTTAAAATTTAGATATCATATTAAATATTTTACTATAGTTTGAAATTATTCATAACATTAACCTATTTATTTAACATGTTAAATTATTTATTGATTTAACATGTAAATTGTTTATTTAATATTTTATGAAATCAATAAGAAATTTAAAATTACTAAAATTATATGTATATATATATATATGTATATATCAAATAATGCTTTTGTAAATAAATATTTAAAATATATATATATATATATATATTGTTAAGTCGCATGGTGTCTAATTACTATTTTAATGTAGATTGTCTCTACTAAGAGCAAATACATGAATTAATTTTATTAAAACTATAAAATTTTGAAAAATTATTGCATAATATATTTTCAACAAAAATTATTTTTTTTATCTTAAAAACATAGCTTATATTGAAACTTTAAAATTTTGAAAAATAAGTTTTTTCATATATTTTCAATATAAACTACATTTAAACATAATCTATATTGAAACTATAAAATTTTAAAAAATAAAATTTTTAATCAAATGAAAACAAAAATTTTATTATAACTTATAAATTTGTTAAATATATTTTAATTTCACATAAATTATAATATTTTTTAAAAAATATTCATGTGTTAATGATTATAATTATTATATTTTTACATTTATAATTATTATATTTTTATTAAATAAATTCAAATCATTGTAAAAATTAAGTACAAATTTAATCTTGTTCAATAAAAACTTAATACAATTAAAAATTAAATTAATTTCTATTTTTGAAAATTGAGATTTAAATTTGGGCCTTATTAGTTGTCAAAAGGTCTCGATTTATAATATAATCTTTTAATATTAAAAGGTAAAATAAATTATAATTATCATTTTTCATGGCAAAAGAGTGACAAAATTTGCATTTTAGAGAGAATCTTAGAAAACTTTAGGGAAAAAAGGTTTCAGATTCTTTATTTTTCTTTTCTGGACAATATTCAAAATGTAATATTCTAGACATCATAAATAGTATGTGAAACCAAACACTTAAAGGGAATCAAATTACAAAAAGTAAAATTTTTAAAGGAAATCCCTACTTTTTGTGAACCAAATGCCCTTTAAAGAAAAGCCACCAAAACTTTTCATACATGTAAAGGAAAGCCATCAAAACTTTCCAAACACTTGAATGAAGCTACCAAAGCCCCCAAAGTGGTTCTAATGACTAGGAAAAAATTGACAATGCACATCAAATTCATGACAAGCGTAACATAAAGCCTTTCAATACTCTAAAAGAAGTCATAAAAACGCATGCGAAAACTTTATAAGAGTAGCATAAAACTTTTCAATAGTTTAGGAAAAGTCACAAAAACTTACTAAAGTCATTATGAGACCTATACAAAGCCTCTCAACACCTAAAGAAAGCAATAAAGGCCTTCAAAAAGTTTTGAAAGCCTAAGTAAGGCTTGTCAAAAACCAAAAAAGGCCTAAGCAAGGCACCAATAAGGGATATCACCAAAGACTAAGTTAAAAATCAAAAGGTGAACAATGAAGTTCACCTCTAAAAACAAGCACTAAGTATCATAAATATTGAAGTTTAACCCCATTGAAAAACATCTAAGCTTAACCGCTAAGGTGATGAAAACAAACATTGAGAATTAAAACGTACAAAATCTAAATGCACTTTTGCCAAAACAAAAAGTAAAGAAGTCATTGGAAGCCAAGCTAGCTGGTTAGCCCTTGTTAGGCATTACCTTAAAGGGCTTGCTATTGACCCATTGAGGTCTTACTTTGTAAGAGGCCACCAGATCGTTCCATTTGGAATGGTGTGGTTCATTGTTGGTCCTTGCCCAAAAGTTCTAAGGTCTGTAAATAGGGGTAATATTCATTGATTTGACACAACATTCAAATGTTCTCTCAACTCTCTAGCTTTTCCTCTCTCTTTCTCTTCGGCAACCACATTTCCATATGCTTGACACATCCTCTGAGATTTTCCTCTTCTTTAATGGATGTCCTAGTCCATTCCATAACAATTCCCTAGCCACGTATATTGTAGATGTTTTTTCTTTATTGTTTCTTTTCTTGTTATAAAAGTTTTGGTTTTTTATTGCCTTGATTTTAATTAGTCTAATTTTTAAATTGGTTAAGTTGACCATATTTCTTGGAAAAGGTTTGCGTTAAGATTTAAATAAAACACAAAATATCATGAAAATTTTATGTGAGCTTTTATTTGCATTTTTTTTCTACATATTTTTTATTACAGTTAAATGAAATTATTTAATTAACCTTTGCCAAATTACACTTTAACCCCACATATTCTTGTTTTATAGTGCAAACGAAAATGCATATCATGAAAGTTTAAAGACCTTTAGAAAATGCATATCCAAAAAGTTTATAGACTAGATATGCATTTTCCAAAGGTATTTAAACTTTTCAAAATTTCAAATTGGAAACCTTGTAAACCTCAATTTCAAAGTCCTAAACCATAAATCATAAAATCATAAACCCTAATATCTAACCTTAGACCATTAACCATAACCCCAAATCCCTAATCTTCAAACCCCCAAACCTAAACTTACACCCAAACCACTAAACCCTAAACATTAACCTAACCTCTAAACCCCAACCCCTAAACCCCTAAATCTAAACCCCAAACCATTTTGTTATATGCGAAATTGTTAAATTGTTGAATTTTATTAAATGAATTAGTTAAGTGTTTGGTATTTTATTCTATGTCATAATAGATATAGCATAAACAATAAGAGATGGTGTTGGTCAAGGTGGAAGGCATAACGCAGCCGACCCTGGCTGAGTTTGATTTAGAGGTGTATGTGTTTACATAGATGGGAAGTTCCATATGTGTTTACATGGATAAAAGGTTACATGTATGTAGTGTATGATGCAAATGTATGTGTTTATTGGTTGTTTTATTCAACATAAAATACAAAATGTTTAAAACTACTAAGTTAGTATCTTTGTACAAATATATGCCAAATAGAAACTTACAAATAAAGTCCTAATATCTTATTCTTTTGTTTTGCAAATAAACACATTTAGGTGGAGATTGAGCTGGCAAGGAGATGAGCTATCGATGCTATAGCTACTTTGCGTAGGGAACAAGTAGGTGCAAGTAGTGCTACTGTTACTATAGGGGTAAAGATAAAACGATCACAGGCTATGGTCTTGTTGATGCTGAGGGTGGTGGTCTCGTCGATGTTAGGGGTAGTGGTCTCCTCCATAGTTATTAGTATCGAATCAAACAATGAACCGTTTAAGTTATGGGGTCACTAGGTTATTGATTCAATCACCAAGTCAACGGGTTAATTAAAGGGTCAATAAAAATATTTTAAAAATATAAATATTTAAAAAAACTAAAGTTCAAACTTTTAACTAAAAAACTAGTTAATTCAACCAAACTAAAGTTTAAGATACATCATAAACTAAAATTCAAAGTACAATAACTAATTTTAGTTTTTAAAGTCATGCAATTTAATCCATGTCCACAGATTGCCAATGATTTTTCATAGAACTCCAATTGTTGCTTGAAACTTTAAAACTTCAACTAAAGAACACCAAGGTCAACAATGAAAAATGGTATGATTTTAAGCTAAAAACATCATGAGTTCAATAGCACAAATAGAATAAGAAGAGCCATAAAAAATAATATATAATATATCTCTTAACAATAGGAGCTTCCAATGGTATATATATATATATATGTATTTTTATCCTTAGTAAGGTTCTTTCTTAAATCTAAATGGAGATACACCTAAATCAAACTAAAAAATATAAAAATTTTAATATCAAAATTCTTAAAAATGGAAAAAGAAAATATATGTAAAATGGAGATTAAAAAAATATAATGAATACATTCAAAAATCAAGTCTATTGATCTAGTCTTTCTAAACAATAGAGCTTAAAGATGATGATTAGATAGACAAAAAATGAACCCACAAAGCAAGAGCTAAGAAGAGAAACAAAAAATAACCCAGTAGCATGAGCTAAGAAGAGATGGAGAGTAGGAATTAAGAAAATGAACAAAGGTGGTTATGGCTAGGTTTTCATTTTTCACTTTTAGTGAGTGTTTGGTTCATGGAATCTAACTTTCTCTATCGAAATCTAACTTTTTGTTATCTGATTCTTTAGTTTGGTTAGGGAACTTTTCCTAGGTTCAGAAATCTTATATCCTCAATAGTATCAAAAATGAGAAAAGTAAGGGAAATAAAAACTTCTCCTCTTTTTTAGGTTTTTTAGATTTCGAAAGGAAAGCAAAATTTTTTCCCCATTTGCTCTTACTTAATTGTATTTTCAAACAATATGGACAATGTTACTTACATTAGAAACATAATACCTTTTTTAAAATATTATGAAGATAAAATTTTCTTAATATATTTTAAATAAAGGTAACGTTTTTTAGATTAAAAATATGGGTTTTGTCATATTTTAATCAAAGATTGTGTTTTTAAGATTAAAAATGTAATCTTTGTTAAAAATATATTATAAAAAAAATTATATTTTGCTTTTTATAGTTTAAACAAAGATCACATTTTCTTCTTAAAAATACGATCATTGTTGAAAATATCACAAAAGCCATGC